CTCCCCCCCCCCCCCAAAAACCCCCAAACCCCCAAAAAAAAAAAAAAAAACAAACCAAAAAAAACAAGGTGGGGAGTTAGTCGCCTGCCTTCCCCTCCTCGAAAAGCGCTTCTCTGGATACGCGTTCACAAAGCCAAACAGAGCTCAACCTGCGGCCTCAAGAACTTTTAGCTGCAATTTTTAGACAAGCAGGAGAGCTGGGCACTGTTTTCCAGGCACGTTGTGCGGCCGCCTCCGAAGCTGAGCACCCCCGGTCCGGCCGGCGCAGACAGGCGAAGCGTTACCCGCCGTGAATCGCTCCGGACGCGGGCAGCGGAGAGGAGAACATCCCCCAGCAAGGCTGAAGGTGGCTGATCTCTTCTGATGCCCTTAGCCAAGCTTGGGCACAGGGGGAGGGCAAAATTCGGCTTCAGTTCCAGATGATGCTGGGGAGGGGGGGGAGGTGGGGGGGTGGCGGAGAGAAAAAAAAAAAAAGGAGAGGATAAAGAGAACATGCGATTCCCCTGATTAAATCAGCCAGAAACAATGAGGTGCTGGTGCCCTCTAATTTTTAGATTCACAGATTTTAGGGCCAGGAGGGAGCGTGATGTTCATCTAGCCTGACAGTCTGGATTATGTAAAAGCCACTTGAAGCCAGACAGTGCCACCAGCTTTTTAGAAGCGGCAGCAAGCGCTGGGGAACTTATTAAAAGACCGCGATTCTCCCCGGGTGGAGGGACACGCGGCTCCCAGCACGGGCTGTGGGAAGGAGGAGGCCAGGTCCATCCACAGCACCGGGCTCAGGCTGAACAAACAGCAGCGCTGGGGGAAAGAAAACATCATTCCTTCGCGCAGCACAGGGGGATAAGCAAGCAGGGGGAAAAAAAAAAACCCCACAGCCCTCCCTTGCATTTGCCTTTTCAACCTTCCCTAGTCCCTGGAAAGAAAATGCCCCGCAAGGATCCCAGCCCCGAGACGTCTCTTGGCTGCTTTGGTGTAAAACCCGAGCGTTCGCAGCACCGCGGCGACGGGAGCCGAGCCCGACCCGCCACGCGAGCCGGATCCTGAGCTCCTCGCTCAGCCGGCGGCAGCGCGGAGGTGTAGTCATTGACTGCAATGTGAGTTTTTCTCTGAAGATGGAGCCAGGCGGCATAAAACATCAATAGAGAGCTCAGGATGCGTCCCTTTAATGAGCTGCGATCGTAACGCGCTGACTGACGGAGCTTGCCAGCAGCTGCCCGTTCCGTCAGGAGGAGTAGATCCTGCTGGAGAAGTGTTAAGTGGGTCCTGCTGACTCATTGATGCAGATGGCTCCGTCCCCACGCGGAGCTGCCGTCTCGTCTCGGGGGACAGCGCCCGGCGCAGGGGCTGAGCCGGTACCGCGGTGGGTGAACCCAGCGGAGGGAGAAGAGAAAAGCAGATGTATTTTATATTTTTTTCTCCCCTGCGTCCCACGGCACAGGGCGAGCACCAAGCGTTGGGCAAAGCTCAGGGCGTCCCGGTGCATGGATGGGCTCCCCGTGCTTCCACGGCAGCACTTCTTCTACAGAAAACATGTTTGTCCCCACGAGGTCCCCTACACAGATCCACGTCGCCCTCTCAGCAGAGAAACCAGAGCAAAGACGTGACTCAAGCAGCGAGTGCGGCTCCAAACGTGTCACACTGTGCGGGTGGTGATCCCCTGGGGCAGGTTGCCCCGAGAAGCTGTGGCTGCCCCATCCCTGGAGGTGTTCAAGGCCAGGTTGGATGGGGCTTGGAGCAACCTGGGCTGGGGGGAGGTGGCCCTGCCCAGGGCAGGGGGGTTGGAACGAGATGATCTTCAAGGTCCCTTCCAACCCAAACCATTCCACGGTTCTATGACATAGAGACTTCAACCCCAAGCTCCTCGGGAACCTGAGCAGGGTGGGTAAAGCCGGATGGTGCATTGGTTATAGAGATACTTGGGGGGGGCTGTCAACACAAACGTTTCCTCACTGGGACATTGTTATCTCCATCTTCCAGCTCCCTGGAAGGCCTGGCAGACGCCTGGGCTCTGGAGCTGGACCCCTCGCACGGTGTCAGCTGGCCGGCGGCACGGTGTCCTTCCTTCGGCAAATGAAGGGCGCAGAGCTGAAGGCTTCTCATTCCCACTAGGGACGGGCTGTCTTTGGTGAGCCAAAGCTTGAGGTCTTGTGCGGGGTGCCACGGGTGGGTGATGCATATTTCCCCACCCAAAAACTATTGCTACACCCACTGGGGAATCAAGTACCAAAGGGTTTGCACCCTCCGGACCCTGAACGTCCCAGGAAAGCCCATGGAGCACCAGTCCCTCTGCCAGGCGTGACCCTGCATCCGCAGGACACGTGCTCTTCATCCAACCTGTGTCCGTACGGCACCTTCAGCCCCTGGCTTGATGGGGACACACCACTCCCGCAACTGCCTCTTCTGTCCCCAAGCCCTCAGGGCCATCTCTCTCCCTGCCTTCTATGCCCCACGTTCCCAGCGATGCTTCTCCACCACCCTGACCTTTTCTAGGAGCAGTCACCACCCACCGCTTCAGGTCTTCTTCAGGCTCTCCAGAGGTCCCAGACTCAGCTCCCCAACGTGTATCCAGCATCCCTCCCGCAGACGCCCGGGTGTGCTCAGCTCTCCGCACACCGGCTGGTCCACGCACCCACCGGCAGATCTTCCACCTCTTGTTCCCTTCCAAACCCGGGTATCCGCCCCGAGCATCCTCCCTCACCTGGGTACCACTCTGCCCACTCCCCACCCAGCCCTCTCATGGCCCACCGAGCAAAACCCACTCCCCGGGGATGGAGGCAGCGGGATGGGGGGGGGAGGATGCAGCTCCCCTACCCAGCCCTCTCATGGCCCACCGAGCAAAACCCACTCCCTGGGGATGGAGGCGGCGGGATGGAGGGGGGGAGGATGCAGCTCCCCTCCTTTTCTTTGCCTTCAGCACTTTGCGTTCCCGTTTCAATGTCACTTTAACTTGAGCGCGCGCGCGCGCGAGCGCAGGGGAGAAAGGCTTGGTATTAAATTGCCAATCTGGTCACATGTTGCCTGGGATTTGGCCGTAGCTAAGCAGCACCACCCCCGCATTCACTTTTTTGGCTGGTGACTCCTCTGCTCGGCGTAAGGCAGAGCCGGCGAAGAATAGGAGAAGCCGGAGGGGGAAGGAAAAAAAATAATAATAAATAAAAAAAAAATTAAAAAAAAAAATAAGGCGAGTCATTGTGAATGTCAGGAGCTCCTCGGCTGCGGGTGTGACAGCGATCCTCCCCCTCCAAACTCGCTCCGGGTGAGAGCCAAAGAGAGAGGATTTCATTAGGATCTGGTAGCAGGCTATTTTCAGAGCTGACATCCTACCCACGGCTAAAAATAGCCGGTCCCCTCCACGCAAACCCGGGTTTCTTTTCTCTTAAACTTCCATAAACCTCAGCAAGGCTTGCTTTCTCCCCACACTTTGCTCCCGTGCTTGCTCCCCTCCCTTCCATCACCCCTTCTTTTCCCCCTCTGCCATCCCTCATTTCCCACCGCCCAGCTCTCCTGTCCCCTCTGCTCCCGGCTCGCAGGGACCGGAGTGGAGATATCACCGCGGTGGGGGAGCAGAGGGTAGGGGTCACCTCCTACCCGACAGCAGCATCCTGCGCACGGAGCCCGGGGCTCCGGGGGGGGGACCAAGCAGGCAGCGAGGGCTCGAGACCCCCCATCTGCTGCCAGGGAGCCTGAAGCATCCCTCCGGATCCCAGCCCCACTGTTGGATGCTCGTCGGAGCACCCCGAAAGGAGGGACCACCCGCTGCACCCCAGGAAGGTGCAAAATCGCAGCTGGAGAGGGGGAAGAACCAGCCCAGCTGCAGCCCATCAACCCACCCCCGCCACAGGGAGACGCCGGATCTGGTGCCCGATGCTCAGCTTTGGTGCCCACGCGTGGGGAACCCAGCGCCCGCGGCCGGCCCCGCAGCACGAAGCCATCCCACCTGGAGAGGTTGGCTCCAGCGCTCGGCCGCAGTCACCTCTAAGAGGGCTCTCCTAAAAACACCGCCTAGCCTAAAAACCACCTCCCTCCCACAGGGCCCCGGCAGGCAGCGCTGCCGCCGGCCCTCCTCTCCGAGGGGCTGCTCGCAATTCCCTCCCTTCATTAGCACCGCCACCTCGCAGGTATTTATAGCCAGCACCTCCCGACCCCCTCCTCTCCTGGCTTTTTTAAAGACAACACAAACTCAACTCCGTCCCAGGCTCCCCTTGACTCCAGCCCAGCCTGGCACCCCAAAATCCC